GTGGCGGGGCCGGCCGTATGTGTACGATGAATACTATCACCCGACAGCGTGGCTTGGTCGCCTGGCTGTGGATTTCCTGAGCAACTACTCGAGGCCCGAACCCTTCTTCCTCAAGGTGCACACACATGTGGGGGAAGAGTTAGTGTGTGCGTGTGTGCGTGTGTGTGTACTTACATGCGTACGTGATGGTGGGGTGGACCACTTCTCAGCAACACTATCTCACGCACACGCACACGCATACACACACACATACATAAACACATATACATACACATACGTACATGTCCGCAGGTGTCATTCCACCGGCCCCACTCGCCCTACGACCCGCCGCAGCGTGTCATCAATCAAGTCCAGTCCCGCGGGCTCCCGCCGCTGTATGTCGGCGACACCTGGGACGACATCTACGCAGACGACCTCGTGAGCAACACACACACACACACATGCATGCATGCATAAATGTGCATGCACACGCATGAATATGCCGACACGCTCTGACACAGTTTCACACCTTCACACCTTCACACCTTCACACACACACACACACACACACACACACACACACACACACACACACACACACACACACACACACACACACACACACACACACACACCCGCACCCCTGCGTCCATGCCATGCGCCACAGGAGAACTGCGGCCCCCAGCTGGCGGACGCTGGTGCAGCAAAATGCCGGATGACGAGCGCAACAACTCGCGCGTGTGTTACGCGGCGTCCGTCACGTTTGTGGACGAGCAGATTGGTTACATCATGCACACGCTGGAGAAGCGTGGCATGCTCAACAACACTTATATCTTCTTCACAGGGTGTTTTTTTTTTTCACATGTTCCTGCACGTGGCATGTTGCGTGTACATTCGCGTGTTGCGTGTCCACGTGCGTGCGTGCGTGCGTGCGTGTACATTTGTCTTTGGACGCGCCGTGGTTTGGCATGTCTTCCTCTTCTCCCTTCCAACGCACGTTGCTGTCTCCTCACACATGTATCCCGCTCCCATCACGTATACACAGACGATCACGGCGACGGCCAGTCCGATCACCGGCACTGGCGAAAGGGATTTCCCTACTTCTTCTCCGCACGCGTTCCCTTCCTCTTCCGCTGGCCAGATGGTGTCAACTTTGTACGTCCCTACCATTCGTGTGTTGTT